GCCCCTGCACAAGGACGAGATGCAAATTCATGAGGCGTTCCTTATTTTTGCTTTGATAGACATTACTGTGGCAAGGGTTGCCTGACCTATTGATTCAACAAACAAGAAGCAAGTAATTATGAGTTCATAAGACATGAACTTACAAAAGAGACAGACTATAGAGGGTGCCTGGTGAAGAGGGGCAAAAAGAAAGGGATGCTCATGACCTAATGGAAGTAGCCAGAAGGTTCCAAATTTCCCAATGATCAAGTAGGATTACTGTATTCAGAAAGAGAATATAAATATATAGGTATTTAGGGCCCAAACCAAGCCAGCGGTTTTTAAATTGCCAGTCACATGTAGTAGATAAACCTAGAGTCAGTTTCACTTCACGGGAGAAATGAGGATAAGAAGTTGAGCTTCATAGTCTTTTCATCTCATTCTTACGGCCAGGCCTGCCTGAGACAAGGCCACACAAGACCCCCTTCAAGAGGTCAGCAGAACTCTAATGTCTATGAACAACCAAAACATGGTATAAAGAGTATCCACGAGATAACTCAAATTGGAAATAGTCTTACTCTTTCTCATGCTTTTATACTGTCTGTCTGATGAGCTATAAACCTTAAAAGCTTCAAGTACCCAAAAAGTGGGTCAAGCTCTTAACAGTTCTGTAGCTCAGTGAATGAATGCATTGTCTCAGGCCTCCGTGGGACACTGTCATATCCTGAAACATCAAAGGAAGTGTGTATCTCTGAGGAGGAGCAACTATGCCTCTTAAACATGAAGAACTGGGTTTTCTTTGTTTTAAATAAATATTATAAGCACGGCTAACTGAGCAGAGTAAAGGGACCTCTGGTGGCCTAGTGCCAAGAAAGTGTGCCACAATCCCAAAGGCACAACACGGTTTGAGACCCCCAGCTGCTCGACAGGAGAAAGATGGGCAATCTCTTCCCACGCAATTTACAATCTCTGAAAATATGCTGAAGTGTCACCTCTGGGTTCAGTTCCAACTTGACGGTACAGAACAACAACAAAGGTCATAAAATGTTCACACAGGTCTCTACAGGCACCTAGAAAGACAGCAGACAGGAGTGGTGACCAGTTCTTTTCAAGAAGAGTCGTACAGTGTGGGCTATGCCATGTACAAAGAAGTGACTCTCAGTTTATAGTTAGAAAATGAATGACAATGTTTCCTGTAACAATTAAAATGGGAGACATTATAGAGATAAATACAGCTCATCCATAGACAGGCGTGTAATTGTTTCAGTCTTAACCTGTAGAAGTGGGAAAATAAAAATAGGACTTAAGAGCCCTTAATCACAACAAAAAATTCTACAGTATTTTAACTGCCATCTAGACAAGTTATAGTAACAACTTAATGCTGGCCCTGCTTATTATAAGTACATCACTGACGTATTACTCATCTGGTAAGTCATGTGGAAAAAAGGTAAATAGAAAAACCTAGCAGTCTGTGACACTTCTACTTTGCTTCCTCCTGTCCAACTCAAGATGGTCAGTAAAGAGTTAATGTGGGTGCATCTTCCTCTTTCAACTCAACAACTCTGTTCAGCATGAAACAGTGAAAATCTACATCCCTATTACCAAACGGGGAACCCACAAGTCAAAAGAGAAAATCTCATTGTAAAGAAACCATCCTCTGTCAAAAATCAACCCAGAAGTTTGTCACTGATCAGAGCAATGTCTTTTTTAAAAAACGCTTCTAGATAGAAGACTGATATGAGAAAAGGAGCGGGATGATAGGGAAGTATTAATAACCTCAAGAGTATTCAAATATATGGCAGACTTGTGAAACTGAATCCAGGTGCTGACAGCCTGCAAAACTGGTGGCTCTGCCCTGGGACCTTGATTTTTTTTCTTTAGTCACGTAAAGTGTATTAAAGACCTTTTTACCAGGAGGGGGAAAGCACCTTTCCTGGATTAGCATTTACTTTTTTTAGAAACTGTGTTTCTCAATCGTGTGTAAATTGTACCTTGAATTGCTTATCAGGTAGGAAAAGGCATCTTTCCTGGATCAGCATTTACCTTTTGAAAAAGACTTTCCGAATCGGGATGGGTGTGTCAGAGACAGTGTGATTGGCACAGGACAGAGCAGGGTTTAGAGCTGTTGTACACAGGGTCGCTATGAGTCACAAGCCACTCGATGGCACATAACAACAACAATCCCATGTAAATGATATCACAAGCTCTGTCTATTCGTAAGAATGTAAAAATCCTGAAGCTCTGACCCAAAGAAAGACTGATCGGTTACGTGAATTCATATAACTTAAGTCTGTTTTAAAATTATAACGAATTTTCAAGTCTTCATAGTGATATATGTTAAACAGATGAACATCGAACCCACATGATAAACGGGTTTGACTCTAAAGAAGGTACAGGTTTGAAATTACTATTTTAGGTATTATATATTATACATATAGTATATATCATATATATTAAATGTTACATATAATATTCGTTGCCATATAAATATAGTATATATCATATGTATTGTTACACGTAATATTCGTTGCTATATACAGTATATATCATATATACTAAATGTTACATATAAAATTCCTTGCCAAGAATAAAAACCAAGGACCCCCCTTTGGACCGGGAAGCAGTTTTTGAGCATTTTATTTCCTCTCCGAGATCTGCAATAGAGTGCTTTGGGTCCTACAATCGGGCCATCTGACCCCCTTGTGTCCAGTAAGGCCGCTCTCCTAAGTCATCCTGTAAAAACAGACCCGGGCTGCGAATGGCGGAGCGCGTGCACCTCGAGGCCGAGCAGGGTGGACAGAGTGGACACAGGGCCTTCACCGGCACACACAGTCTCCCCGAGGACGCAGGCTCACGATGACCACCACCCTCTCCGGCCCCGCGATTTCACCCGACAAACCACGTGCCCTGCGTGTCCTGGAGCCGCTGAGCCCGACGTTTTCAGGGGAGCGGCGGCCGCCCAGGCCCGGGGGTTGGGAGTCCCGGGCACAGGCAGGGACACGGAGCGCGAGGGGATTCGGGACAGGGGCCTGCGGGTCAACGAAAAGTGACCAGAAATAAATAAGAGAAAGTCTGAAACCATCTTCCTATGACAATAGAGCGGAAACCAGAGCAAAATCATACCAACTTCCGGTTTCCAGCCCGGAAGTGACCCCCACAAAAAGACTTCCGTGTAGAAACAAGGAGGTGCCATGTGGTTCTGCGGCCTGCTTACATCCTCGAGTTTGGGATCCGTCGTCTTTCCAATAAGAAAAGGCCTTCGTTCTCGTCAGGACGTGAAGAAACTGATCACTCAAGCCACTGCAGCATGGAAGAAAGCACGCGATGCTCCGGAGCAGGAGCGTGACAACTACGGGATGCAAAAAAGGACGGACACTTCCTTTTGGTTACTGTGGGTGCACCAGCGAAAGCGGTCCCATTCTTGGTACCAGCAGCCAGGAAATCACAAGATGAATTCCGTTGGGAAAGTCGGCTCTCAGGGAACTCTCCAGAGTACTGAAGAGAAACAGTGTCACTCTGGACACTAAGGTGCACCTGATCCAGACCAAAGTCTTTAGAATTTCTTGCTATGCATCAGAAAGCTGGACAATGACTAGGGTTTATAAAGAGAGAATTGATGCCTTAGAGGTGTGGTGCTGGAGAAGATTCTTGAATATGGACTGTTAGGAGAACAAAGAGTTTAGTCTGCAATATGGTGAATCCAGGATGCTCCTTGGAGGCAAGGATTCTGAAGCTTTAGCTGACCTACTTTGGGCCTGTTGCAAGGAAGGACCAGTCCTTGGACAGGGACATTATGCATGGAATGGTGGAGGGACAGGGCAAGAGAGGAATACCCTCAATGAGTTGGATTGACTCAGTGACTCGGGGTAATGAGGGGAGGTGTGTGAGAGACAATGAAGTGGGCTCAGGACAGAGTAGGGTTCAGAGCTTTTGCACACAGGGTCACTATGACTTGTAAATTACTTCACAGCACATAGCAACCACATTTTCCAACCCTCCACTTGTCCTCACTGTTGCAAACTGGACGCAGAAAGCAAATAGGGACGCGAGGAAATGAATTGTTGCCAACATACCAATGGGTAAGCTCAATCTTTAAAGACCAAAGATCAGATAGGGCATCCCCTCCGGTGGGAGGCTGGACAGAATTCTGTTTTCACAGGGCATCCAGTATATCTTTCCGGGGGGTGGGGGTACTGTGGTGCTGGTTGGATTTTGTGTCCTGTCTGGACTCTGATCTCAGCTGTGGTCTGGCTAACACTATCCCAGGGAATCCCCATTTCCTCCCTCCCCTCAGCTGATTGGGCATCACTTAGTCATCAAGGTAAATATAGCTTCTCTTCATTTTTCCATTATTCTTTTTTTCTTTGCATTCTCCATCCTTGACATAAAAACACAGAAATAAGAATTATAAGACAAACGTGATTATAGAAGAATTTCCAAATATTTTAACCTGATGAAAGGGATTAAGACGGGAGTTTCCTTCACTCATTTCTTCCAGAAAATCAGTATTACTAAATTTTCTCAGTTGTTCATTAAAAGTTCATTAAAAGTGTCATAAAAGTGAGCTTGTATCTCATCAGTTAAAATACCATGATTCATGATAGGTTTGCAAACTTTATCACAATGCCATTCAGTATTATTCCATACAACAGGGGTGACACAATATTGAGTAGTAATCAAATCTTAGTTTAACTTCAGTTGTCTTTGTAAGTTAGTGATATGATTGCCTGTCATAATTACTGCTTAAAATCAGTTAATCGAGAATTGATTTCAGAATCTGTCTTTGAGATGACCATAATTTTTCAGTCATTATGCCATTTTTTTTATAATCTACTGTTTGAACACTTAGGTGCAGAGCAACTCCAGCAGTAGACGCTATAGCTGTTACAGCTAAGATCTCTAAAACAGTGACAATTAATGCTCCAATAAACCTCTTGCTTCTTTTAAAGAACTGATTCACAAGGTGCTTTAAAAGCATCTTCTCATGAGATGACTGCCATTTATGAACAAAATTATAGGAAGCCATAAGCCAATTCTCTCCCTCTCTCTGTCTTTCTCTCCGCTTATGAGGTGGTAAAAAGAAAAATTTAAACAAGTATACAGAGAACATTTGTTGTAAGTCAAAGCTAAATTATCCGCCACCTATTTAGTAACTCCTTTTTTTGTTTGCTTGTTTTTTAAATTTTATTATTTTTGTGTGACTGTACCATCAAATCAGATCTTACGGGTACAGGAGATTTCCCCTCCTTCCCTGGCAGAGCATCTGGTGGATTTGAACTGTGCACCTCTTTATCTGGATCCAAGTCACACTCTCTTCTCTCCTGGTCTATGCTAACAGTCTTCTCTTTTGTTGTTTCTCTAAGGTCATCAGTCTTTTCCATTCCACCATTCTGTCTTCATCGAATCATAGCTTCTTAAAGCTTATCTCGGGGTTCACGTTTCTGGATGGTACCCACAGCATTTTGGTGCCTGTTGAAATATAAGCAAATCCTCCACCCTAATGAAGGACAAATCCCTTTTTTTATTCATTAGTTAGAGGTTCTCTAAAATATATATGTGCTGATTCAGCTCTTTGATTAATTATAATACCCAATGTCTTTCCACTAGAGTTTCTCTTTTCTCATTAGAACTTAAAAAAACAACGTGAATAATGGTTTTGTAAAATAGTTTGAGGAGATGTTTTTCATCCTAATCCCATCTCCCCTCTTTTTGTTTTCTCAACAGTTTGTTTCTCGGAGCTGCCTTTTGCTTTAAAAAGGCAGGAGCAATAACTGAGCTACTGTCTGGCCTTTGAACAAGATGAGATGTTGTGACGATGACATCATTATGTCCCCATCATAACTGGGATCCACCATCCCAATATGTACAAATATTCCTTTACTTATTAAACTAGATTTTACTGAAATCAATGTTACAGCATCTTTGGGGACCTTATTTCCATGGGACAGCCTCGGCTCACTGGAGATCGAAGGTAACTCTCTTTGATTTAAAGCCTCTAGTTTCTTCCTTGTTAGGGGTCACTGCTCTGCCCTACGCCTTTGTTAAGTGGCGTCTTACTATTATAATGAACAAGACACTGATGCCTGGAAAAAACTGCTTTGTCTCTTACCACTTAAAAACTTAAACTTTCTGGACTTTACAGGTAGTCAACCAAGAGTATTTGACTTTTATGAGACATTTTTATACTTTTTGTTCTTTATATTTACTGAGAACAAAATTACATTTTCTTTCTTACTTATTTATAATCTTTAGATCACATTATCTATGCAGCTTTTAATTTATCTTGACTCTATTACTTACTTTCAGGCCTTTATAAATTTTCTAAATTAAAGAGTTTTCTTTTTGTAAGCTTCATTTTTATTTTTTTATTTTCTTATTTTGCCAAAATTATCAGATTATGTAAGCTGATAACTATTGCCACATTAAATTTAAGACAATGTTTCGCTTCTTCCTTTGAGGTTTTATAAGCAATTTATTTCAGAGGTTGGGTAAGTTCTCATGACATTTTCTGTAATTCTTCCCTTGACTTTATCCTTCAAGGGGTGAGGAAATCCTCATGAAACTTTTTCTACTTCTACCCTTGACTGACTTCCAAGGGGTGAGGGAATCCTCATGGAGAAAGAGATAGAGAGACAGAGAGTGAGAGAGAGTGAGAGAGAGAGAGAGAGAGACAGACACTGACTGGTACTTCATTCGGGTCCCTGTTCAGTCGCCAGATGTTGCAAACCGGACGCAGAAAGAAAGCAAGGACACAAGGAAATGAATTCTTAAAAAGAGGGAGGGCTGAGGCAGAGGCCCTCTCACAGCTTAGCACTGTGAAAAGGCCCCGCTCTTAATGTCCCTGTGGTTTTTATTTAGTTTACACAATCATTCTAAAAAATGTTCCATCTTCAGAGACTATATTTTCCTTATACTTAAGTGTTGCCAAGATAGCAACGAGTAAGCTTAATCTTTAAACTCAGACCAAAGCTTAGACAGGGCATCCCCTTCAGTGGGAGGCTGGACAGAGTTCTGTTTGCAGAGGGCATCCAGTATGTCGTCTGGGGAGGCTGGATGGTATTCTCTCTTTGTAGAGGGTGCTCAGTCCTGTCTGGACTCTGATCCCAGCTATGGCTCGGATAACACTATGCTGGAGAATCCACACCTCACTAGTGTAAGTTCTAAAATGCTGAGGACAGAGGATTGATGCAGAAAAGAGTGATCACTTAACTGGTATCATCAAATGAAAAGAAGACTTTTTCTACTTGGTTCACATAATTCAAGTATCTCAATATGGGAACAATCTTTACAAAAACAATTCCATGTCTGTAGCAACAGATGATATCATGTTACTATAAAAAATTAGGGAACTAAGTTATGAGAAAACTAGTGGCCTAGTTATACTAAGGAATTATACTGCCAACACACAGCCAGATATTTTGAATCAATTGAGTGACGAGAGAAAGATGATTAATAGTTCAGGTGCTGTATGGAAGAAGGAGGGGCAATCTCCTCCCGTGCGACTGACTGCCTCTGAAAACCTGCTACAGGGTGAGCCATCATTCAGTTCTGACTCTACAGTACATGACAATCACAAGACTTTGTCTTCTAGTTAAAAAAAAAATAATAGGTGACCGACTAGTGGATTAGCTTTTTGGGAAGAGGTGCATAGACTGAACTACAGATTTCAAGAACCTAGGAGCAGGAGAGGCCCAAGTTCAGATCTTTTGTTTGTAGAGTCACTGTGTGTTGTATTTGAGAGTACCCAACATCGGTCTGGGATTGGACGTCACAGATTCAAGGTCAGATACTGGAAGCGTAAGACCCTTGTAGCTCCACTCAGGTCTGGAGTCTACCTGTCATCTTCTCATGGGTCAAGTAAAAGAATAGAGTCCATGGGATTTGCAGGCAGACCCAAGAGTGGAGAAGCCCCTGAGATGAGGAGAGGACATTAGCCCCAGGAAAATAAGTGCGTTTGGGGTAGTGCTAACAGCAATCTCTCATCTGCTTAATCCATAGAGTGTTTCCAGCTATCCGTCGAACAAACATC